TACGATATTCCATGAATATTTTATAAATGTATATATATTTCTGTATATTCTATGTATGTACATGATAGATACAGGATATTTTTTCCGCATTACGGACACTCCATGTATATACATAGAATATCGAATGTTTACTGGGTAATATTGGCTGTTGCTATATAGAAATATTCAATTTAGAATTATGTACCTTCTTAAACATTAAAGATTGCTATAATATTATCTTACGCATAGCTAACTGTTTAAAATGCTTTCAAAGTCCATCTTTTTGTTTTGTTAATTTCATTATTGAATGTCTTTAATTATTTATGTTGTTACTAAAAATAATTTTGTTGTTATTGTGTTTCAGAAAGAAAACTTCCGATTGGAATTGGCACATTCGATAAAAGAGTTCATTGAAGCTGTTCAACAAGGCAGACCTTTGTTGTATCATGTTTACTTTCCCTCGGACGTAGATTTTCCGATATTATCCGCGCTATGGTTCAACAATCAACAATATTGTCTCGACCCCAAATGTGAGTATTTGGTTGAAATTCAATACAGTATAATCTCGTTAATCCGGCTTATTAAAAATCAGATAGTGCTGGATTAATGGATTTGTCGGACAAATAGAAAGTATAAAATATAAAAAAAACTAATACGTAAAGTAGTCATGATTAAACTTATCACATAAAGTAGTATCTAATGAAATTTATTACATGGAGAAATACATATAATGATAAATAAAAAGATCAAACTCTTATTATAATAATTTTGGAATTTCCTTTTTATCATCGTTTTATGTCTTTATATAGAAAACATTTTCAGCGCGATTGGTTATGTTTGGAAATTATCTCTGTCCTTGTAAAAAATATTATACAATTTTTTCGTACTCCACGGAAATGTGCAATTTAAAAATATGTTACGTCTTATCGCAGCATCAAGCGGAAATATCACAGCAAATCTCGAGTTGGGGCATATTGTGTACCCGCCGAACAAACAACCAATGTCGCAGAATTTTCAGTCGTGGTATCGAAATTCGAGTAACTACCGTATAGACAATCCAATTTATAAGAGCTACGCCGAATGCGGTATTACCAGCTATTACACCGATACCACAAATAGACTGATCCCCAACGGCGAGGACTCGTTACCAGGCCAGTGGCCGTGGGTGGTTGCAGTCTACCAGATTAAGAAACAAAAGTCGAATACAACACACGAATTTAAATGTGGCGGTTCTATTTTGACTACCAGGCAGATATTAACAGGTATGCTATATCGAAACAAGTCAATATTTCTCTAGCCCTTATATCGAACCAAGTAAATTTCTCTTACATCTATTATACTTTCTTGAATCTTTATAGTAAGATTTTTATTTTTATCTATTCATACAAAATTATTTTTCGTCATACTAAATTAAGATACATATCCGGATAAAAAATGTGGATTATAAGAAAATGTAATTTATACATTTATACGTTTTTTTATAGTGGCGGATTGTGTGATGTTTGCCCTTGATCAGAACGATACCGTACCACCCAACATGTTAGCGGTAGTTGTGGGGCGATTTAATTTACAATTAGTTCAATTAAACAGAGATGTGATTCCGAGAGTCAAGAGTTACATGATTCACCCCGATTATATGCACGATCGTTTCACCAGCGACTCCAATCTAGCGATTTTGACTCTCTGGACGCCCGTCGAGTTCAATCCTTTTATCAGGCCTATTTGCCTATGGTCCGGTTCACCCAATCTCGACACCGTCGTTAATAGAACAGGGTATGTCGTAGGATGGGGCAAAGAAAAATTTGGTAATATCGAAGAACAGCGAGTAAAATGGGCTACAATAGTGAGTCAGGTAGGCAATTGCAATTAGATGCTATTATGAAAGTGTTATTCATTGCATTCGTAATCGTGCCAGAGTTATTGCAGGCCTTATGTTAATTAAACTTATTTGCGCAAATTGCAGGAGACTTGCCTCCGGAGCAATCAAAGATTCGTTAGCCTCACCTCGAATCGCACCTTTTGCGCCAGTTCGGTAAACGAAATCGGTCCCTGTGTCGGTGACAGCGGGAACGGGTTGGTGCTTCTGAACAATATCACGGGCCGTTACGAGTTGCGTGGCATTCTCTCGGGGTCTTTACCTAATGATGAGTCCCATTTTCACTGCTATTCACGGGATTACGCTATTTATGTTGATGTGGCCAAATACATACCATGGATTCAACAACAGATTTCGACGTAACGCTGGTTTATCGCGACAAAATGCAATACCTACGTGCTAGTTGATAAAATTCTTTATGTAAAGTTTATCTGAAACCGCAGCATTTATATACAACTATACGTGAGAATTAAACAGTTACGAATTTTACTTTTAATTGTTTATAGCGATTTCTCTTGTTGTAATGTGTCTTTGATCTGGACACGAAAATAGAGTACATTAGAGATATACACGCAACTATCTGTCATTGTGGACTTATTAATAAAGTTATAATGAAGAACAAATTATAACACTCTCGCAATACTCTTACTAATAAATACATTCAATATTTTTTTTAAAGTCGCAAGAAATATTGTACATGTAGTAATATTCTTTTTTTTAATACACGCGATTCGTTACTTATTTTAAGTTTTATAGTACGTTGTAATAAGACGAGGAGAACGGAGAGAAAGAAGAAGTCTCAGTCTATTAAGATCGCTTTCTCATAGGATCATGGTTTAATGTCTATGTTCGCAATTATGTTGTTTCCGGTCACGAAATGAAATCGTACTATTAACAATATACACGTATATGTATGCTAAAGAAATTATGGAACTTTAGTCGTTATCATTGCTATTTACAATGCATGGGCTCTATCTTATAAGTTTTCTAAGAGAGTTTCACAACTTTTCTAAGAGAGTTTCACAACTTTACGAATTGTTAGAACAAAACATTTGATTCAAAAGTAAACCTAATGAAACAACAGAAGTTTGCGTAAGATTTAGCGAGTATTGAAAAATATAGATATAGTGAATACTATATGCATGTAATCAACACGCTAATAATCCTTCCGAAAAACTAAAGACTACAATATATCAAGTAAACTTGGTGTACAAGTAGAAGTGTGAAAATAAATCAGCTTCATTTGTAATTCCTTTTCGGCTCTTACGTTTGCTCTTGACGAATCAGAACGCGCTCGGCCAGTGCTACAAATATTTCAAAATTATTGTACTCTAGCTTATATAGTACTTCTTATTATTCACTTCCAATATAGACGGTATTTTCTAATTACATTGTTGGCGAGCTAGTTGTCTCATCGAACGTGCGCCCGCCAATTCTCCGGTATTTTTTCTGTTAAATCACCCGAAAGGAAAAGATGATTCATTTTTCATTAGTACTTTATTAAAGTAAAAAATGTTCCAGAAACGCTTATCCTTTCTTCTCTTCATTGTATATTCTCATATAAGATAATTTGTTATGAACTAAATGACATAAATCAGCTTATCATCACTTGACTGTCGATACCCCTACTACTGCATCATTCGAACGCGTCTTCATGAAATTTATAAATGTGGTTCAAAGTGTTTTGGTAGAGAACTGGTTAGTCTTATGAAGTTACAGTGAAGGTGTGTAATGTCGGTCCAAGAATTAGCATTCTGAATATCTAGAATCAACGCCGGAGTCTTGAATTTCGCTTTGAACCATTAATAAGTACTTTATAATATTTCACAAAGGTGTCTGAAAAAAGTGTATAAATTACAATACGGTGAAAATGCTAAAAGTGAGCGGCTTTGTCCCTTTCTAAGAGGACAGCTAGAAAGAGACAAAGCTACTCGCTCTTAGCATTTTCAGCGTAGTGTAAGATACAGAATTGACCCCCAGGTGACTATTCGCCATATGGAATAGTACTCTTTTTAAATGTAACAGACTGGAAAAATAACAAGCGTTTGTTATAGTGATTTCTTCCAAACACGTGAGTTCTAGTGTGCGATTCGCAAAATTTATCGAGATTTAAATAAATTATCTGCTTATCGTCCAAAAATTGATGTTTTTTTTATTAATCCCATTGAGTTCTCCAGTAGAAATGTTATCGTAATAAGGAGAAAGTTAGAGGTATTATTAAAATTTTTAGTTTTTATATTCTCTGCGTGTTCGGACGCATACATATACAGGG